ATATATTTCTCCGTCTAAGTTTGATTTTGGGGGCAAATGTTGGTCATTAGTAAATATAATCCTTTCCATGATGTGTTGTATGAAATGATATTTTTTTTACTTTATTAAAAAAAGTTATAGTCTATTTATAAAGTCTCTTCCATCCTTCTCTCCGTGTCCCTGGGGATACGTATCAATCTCTTCCGCAACTCCTTACCCATTATATAAAATTTATTGAGGCTTTCAAAGAATCTTCATGTCATAATGCGATAGTGCATTTTCTTTTATTTGGACTAAAATTTTGGATTTCCTTTAGAATATATAAAATAAACATTGCTAGTTTTCCTACACATATTGTTATGGGTCAGAATAACCCTAAATGACAGCAAAGATCAATAACAAAATTTAAACTTAACAATAATTTATTTACAGTAATATATAATAAGTATATGAAACATAAAGTACAAACTTAGCGAGAATCTAAAAATACATACATCAGAGTGTCCGTTGCTGCACACAATGTCCCAGTGAAAATATATATCCCAGTTATATCTCAATAGTGCTTATACGACAAAGTATATCTATGCATCGAATTGAAAGGGTATTTATACAGTAATATAAATCTAGAATATTCTAGAAATTGTTAAAACATGATATTACTGGAACAATCTGGACATACACAAAATTTAAGAATGTTCTAGATAAAATGACCAAACATGTTGACCACTCTGGAATGTTCAAGAAACTTAATGTTACTAATTATATACATAATGAAACAATACACATCTCACAACAATATAACGTAAGGGGTACCCTTCTTTTTTCCGCATTTTTTTTCGATTTCTACCATTGAAAAAATTTTATGAGATTTCCCAACAATCCTATTGCGTAGGCAATTGGTGAACCTTTTTTTATTTTTCAACAACCAACCAGTATGATAAACGTGATGATTTAACTTTTCAATCGTCAACTTCCCTTACTTAGGCAGCAATATACCTTTATCACCTGCATACGGGTTTTTATATTTCAGTTGATTTGATACGCAAGAGCATGCTCTATGTATGAACAATTTCTAAAGCGAAGTAAATTATTGACAAACAAGTTGATGAAACAAGAATTTCAGCAGTCTCGATTAAAGTCATCATTTCGTAAGCTCTATGGTCGATACAATTACTCTGTCATCAAATACAGTTATCATCGAGTCGAATGCTGACTGACGTTTTTCATACTAATTGTCAGTCCATTATTTGAACACTTAATTGGCGACGGATTTTTCCGTTATTTCCCAATCATGACAAGGAGCACACGGTGGGTGTGATCGAGCAGCAGGGGATGCTCACTCATCCATGGCGTCTGATCCCACCTCTGATGTTTTGGAGGTGTATGTTTGCTCTGCTCCTATTTTGTATTGTTTTATGGATTTTTTATCTTTAATGTTCGTTAACTCTGAATATGTTTCATTTGATTGAAAAGATATACTGAGTATGGGCTTTCCCATAAAAAAAACTCTGGACTTTCTCGTTAAACTCTGTTTTTTATCCGCAGAACGAGGACTTGTGTCATAAAAGAAAAACGTGTATAAAACTACTTGGTCTACGATTTAAAAAGCATATTAGAGATTTTAGCTTTTATTTTTATATCATAAAACCCTCAATTTTTTCTGAAATACCGCCCTGGAAGTTGATTAAACCAAGTGTTGATATATCTCTAACTGAATTTAAGAAATCAGAAACAAATCCTCTTATTTTTAAACAAAAATTAGCCGAAATAAAACATTCTAATGGTCCTACAGTCGAGATCTATACAGATGGTTCGAAAGACAAGGATACGGTTGCTTCAGCTGCAGTAATTGATTATAGTATATTCTCAACACGTCTTCCAAATGAAGCAACAATATTTACTGCGGAAGCGAAAGCCATACAACTTGCATTTGAATATATAAAATCTTCCAGTGACAACATATTTACTATATTTTCGGGCTCTCTTTCTTGCTTACAATCCATTAAAAACAAAAAGAATCTTGATCAGTCTTATATTTTAGATATATTAATACAGTATAATCATTTCACTCAACAGGGTAAAACACTTAATTTTTGTTGGATTCCGAGCCACATCGACATCCCTGGAAACACTAAGGCTGACAGTGCAGCAAAAACAGCACTTCAACATGAAATTACTTTATTTAAAATTCCTTACACCGATTTGAAATACCTCGTTAAAATTTATGTCGATTCTCTTTGGCAAATTTATTGGAATTTTTGTGATGAAAGTAAGCTTTATGCTATTGAAAACAAAGTTAACAAATCATGTGACTTCGGTCTGATACGTCAAGACGAAGTAATTATATCAAGAATACGTATTGGTCACTCTAAAATTACACATGAATGCTTACTAAATCGGAAATTTCAACCGAAATGTATATCCTGTGACTGTCCGATAACTATAAATCATATTTTATTAGAATGTTCTGATTTTTCGCCAATTCGAAGTAGACTTTTTGGTAATGCAAAAACGATACATGACCTTTTTACAAATGTTAATGTACATGCAATTTTGGAATATTTATATGAAACTGATTTTTACAATAAAATATAGAAATGATTAGAGCAATTTTATGAGATATATTTAGATGATTTTATTTTTAACAGTTTACATATTTTTAAATTTTAAGTTCGTCGGATGGGACTTTAAATCTGAAGGATAACAACCACCTTGGCACGCAAATTTTCTCTGGAGTTCGATAAAGAGTAGGCTCATTGGGGGCCGCCAGAGAAACCAAAAACTTTCAAAAACCGGTTAATACTTGCCCGCCGAAACATGGCTGAAATATTGCCGACTTGGCGTTAAACAATGTAAAATCAATCAATCAATCAAATGAGAGTGGAATATATCTTTTTTATGAGGTTAGTGGTTCGCATGTATAATTAAGGGTATCATTGTGATGCTGGTATAATTTTATGTTTTTATTTTTATGATGTAAAGTGACATTCAAGAAAGAGTCACGAAATTAGAAAAAAGTTTTATCGTGTTATAAAATGGAGTTGTAATATGAAACCAGTATTGTTTGTGACAGACGAAATGATGACATGGTGAATATCTGGTAGCAATTCGTTGAATTACAGGGAACAGTTCGTATATTACATGTGCTTAAAGTTACACAATAATTGATTAATAGAAAACAATACCTTTGCGTCCTATTTGGCACTTAAACCAGTGATTTTCTGATATTTCCAATGGTTTATTACGATATATTTCTCGTTCTATTTCAGGTAGTTGTTAGGCTCCTTGTTAATTTCCTAATGCTTTTATTCAAGGACTGTACAATGTGGTGTATTATGCAATTTTTAGCTGTACAAGTATCCTAGAAACACAAAAGAGGCTTGCATAATATTGATGAGAGTCCACATATTAATTCATTATTCCATCTAGTGCTTTCGGGCTTTAACGGTTATTGTTGAAGCTTTGTTAGCAGAGTAATTACAGAGAATCGTTATCTAAGTACATATATCAATGAACAAAAGGTGAAATTTACTCGATTATAGTAACTGTAGTCTTTGTAAATGACGGGGATATTGAGAAAAAAACAATTTTTTAAAAATAAATTTTAGATTAACCTCTTTCTTAGATTGACAGGTAGTTTTTCTTTATTTTTACTCGTTTATTAAGCTTGTCCTTCTTTCTGAAGTAATATCTTTTTATGTGTAAGTATCTGTTTGAATTTCATTAAGCATGAAATATTAAATAACAAGAATATAATTTAAGGACGCCCTAAAAAACATTTATCTTTTATTATAGCTTCTAAATCAACTTTGCTTTGTAACGAATTATAGTGAAAATATGTAAATTATTTTTTGTTTCAAATTATTCGGCAATTTTTTAAATATAATTAAAAACAACTGAATTTCTCATTTAAAAATCATTCCTTTACATGCATATATACCAGGAACTAAAGAAAATTCATTGAGCCTCCTTGAGTTAACAGTTTTCCAGAAAGCTGACACATTCCATATCAAAAAAAATCTTCAACAAGTTTGAGAGTAGATTTTATTTGATAAAATGAAATTTGTGGGTAAAGACAACATGAATACTCTCTCTTAGAAAAAACAATCAAATATTTGTTTTCATGCAGATTTTAGAAAATTCCTTCGTTTTGTCAAATTCCTCTTCGGGTTTTTAATTTGACGAAGATACCACCAACGATTTTCTCTGATGCTTTTCCTTTTTAACGTTAAATATTTTATCTCTGTTAATATCATAGAAAACTATACCGGCTTTTACTGTTATCATTTCAAAAGACCTGTACTTGAGATCTAATTCACATTTAGAATAAATATGCGTATCCAGTTTGTCTGATGTCGAGTGCTTTTGAGATGATATTAGACGTCAGTAGAAGATTAACTTAATATCTTGTTCGCATTAAGTGAAATTAATATCAAAATCCAAGTTTATAGGAAGACTCAAATGCAAAAAGCTTCTTGTGTATTTGTTGGAAGAGAGTCTATTTTTTTAAAGATTCATTTAATGTGAAATCTATTCATATAGCATGTAAATTAATTTCTCCTTTAAACTTGGTGTTAATTTTTCCAACAGTGGTTAATTTGATTTGTCCATATACATATATATATATATAAAATAACGTCTTTTACTTATATTTATTCGCTATTAACAACGAATACATTCCACGACATATACGTGTTTAATTTTATAGAAATTGACCGAGAAAAATATTAATAAGAATTAAGTAGGTGTTAATCCTTGTGGGTTGAGATTTCTATGTACGTTTCAAAATCGTCATCAGATTCTTCATTCAATTCCTCATAAGCAATTCGTCAATAACACAATAAAACTTTGCATATTAAATACGCTCTGTTTGCAATTGTTTCTAATTTATTTGAAATCGATTTACATGTAAAAGTGGAGTACAACTGCAGTATCTTCCTGCTATCGACCATAGGGCGGTACTTAAATAGCGCTCAGCGGCCGTTCTTCTACAATAGGGTGACAAGTGCCACCACCCTCCGTGCCGTTATTGTTAATTTGTGAGGAAGCAAACTTAGAGAAAAACACTGAAGAAGGATCAGTGGGATAGCTAAGCGAACATTTGATTTATGTTGGAAAGGTTTCCAGAAATTTTGTCATACGTTCAATTTATCCCGTTTATACTCGTGGACGGAGACGTGAACTTCTGCAGGGAGTTAATGTCGATAGATGTATCGAGTAGTTAGTGAGATGTGTGTTTCTTATCCGATCTAATGACCACCACATTATCATATTGCTGGCACGGCGTACAGGGTGATATACACTTTGTCTAGTCAGATGCAGTGTTTGAACAACATTCTCAAGATTTTATCATTCACAAGTACTTCATCATAGGCCCTCCATCATACAAGTTTACTGAAGACATCTGCTACTTTCAACAGGTAAGTTAACGTGATTTCACTATTTTTAATTATAAGGGTTGCAACAATACATCCGAAATTTCTTTAGAAAATATATTTCACTGTCATCATTACAAACCGATTTAAATCTATTAAGCTGTTAGTTGTATTTTGCAATTTTTTTCTCTAACGTTTTATTCAGGTAGGAGATAATTAATTTCAATCTGGTAGGTTTGTGTAAATGCCTCTTCAAATATTTCTATTTATCACATTTTATAACTACAAATTCAGGACGTTATATGGAATATACTTTGTTTTTTTTTATATATGTAATGAAATTCATATTACGTTCCTTTAATACCGTTATATAAGTTCATGATAGTATTAGATAAATGTGAGTGAGAATATATTAATTGAAGAAAGTTAAATATCGAAAGGAGTGGAAAAGGGTCGTCAATCAAAACAAACAGTGCATTGCTTGTAGGCAGGGTTAATATCCACATAATAAACCAATAATCAGCATCGATCAAAAGAACTTTGTAATTATCACGAAGTACTTTACCAATAATGTTTCCTGTCACCAAAGTCCACATTCAAAGCCCCCATGTCTAAATTTCAAATAATAAAAAGATATGCGCTCCAAGCAAGGTATAGGAAACGCTTTGAACAGTGGAACTATCTCATAATGTTGGAATATGAAAAATTTCCGTAGTTCAGTTGTGTGTAAAAAAAAAAAAAAACGAACAAAACAGGGATTTACCTAGGAAACGATGTGCTTAGTGAACGGGATAAGCAATAGGTTTGAGGTAAATCTTACAAAAAGTTTACTTTGTGGTGATTTAAATCAAGCAAATCTTATTTTACAAATGATAAAAGCCTCCTTACTATCATTGTCTAATTACATGTACTTTGGTGCGTTCAAGAATTAGCGGATATGAAGCATCAAAAGCTTCAATGTACACGCACAATCTTAAATGATATGGATTCATAACCCCGATTTATGATATTCACACGGATCGTACAAATAAAAAAATAACTTAAGAATCCATACGTCATCAAAAAGGATAATTACATACCAATGTCGTGTCCATTTGGTATGTCTTATTGGTCTCACCTTCCTACTTTCTAATACATACACTTAAAAAAAAGATAAACACAGGAAAATACGCTTTTAGCGAATATTAATAATACAAAGAGATTTACAGAGATAGATCTGCATTCCCCGCGATTTTAACGCATTGTAAACCACGGATAGAACAATTTAGGTTTAACTGTTCGTCCTTGGCACTTTGCTATAAGCGTGTTTTACTTTGTGTTAATTCCGATGAAGAGCGCTAGCAGGCCAGGGCTAACTTTAAACAGAGCTAAGAATACCAGCTGTGTTGCACGTCCTAAATGGCTCATATATTGCTCCTGATCAATTTTTCATTAATGGTCACTTCGGTGTAACAAAGGAGAAGTAAAGAAAAACATACAATACGTATCACTTCCTCCACTTTCTTAAAAACATTCAGAGCTTTTGCCCTTACGCAAAAAAATCGGGAATGTTTCATTAACCCTCGTTAAGCTACTTTAAGCTATTATTAGTAGAGTTTGTTCGTTTCTCCTACGAAAATTTTGGATAGTATTCAATAAGTGTACATCCGTCTATACTGCTGATGTATGACTGAATTCCAGATACAAGAGAACAGCTTATGTAATAGAGTAAAAGGGGCTCTGGCTCACACCAGACAAAAGCTCTGTTCAGTGCGACTGCCTTGTCGTAAGTTAACCACTTCACAAAACAATTGCAAAACATCGAATCGATCACCAAAGTGTTTAATTCTTTTAAATACCCTCTCCCCCCAATAAAAAGCCCCAAAAAGGAAAAGAAAAAAATTTGAAACTAAATACATAACATGTACTTTTTTTTCCATTTCTTTGTATTGTTAAAATACCTTTTTGTGCATTCTTAATACTTTAATTTTCAGTGTGATTGATTAAAATAAATTCTTAAGGGAAAAAGGCATTTCGCTAGTATCATCATTAAATTATTTTTTAAGACTTAAGCAAAAAATATGTCCAAATAACTAATAATGAAAATCTGAATGCTGACAAAAAAGACTTTCAAATTGCACGTGCTGATTTCATGGATCTTTGTCAAGTGATAATGCTGATGATGTAACCAAAAAAATGTAAAGTGCAAAAAAAGTGACATTTGCAGATGTGATTTATTCAAAACAAAGTTCACTTACCCTTAAAACCTTTGGCATTTAATTTTTTTTTTTTTTTTAGATATTGTAACCCGGAAACTGAATACGTTTTGTTTTTATGTCCTTTGCGCATCCATCGTCTGGAGAAGTTGGTGCAAATTCAAATAAAATCATAATTTAATGAATGTGTGAGAAAGAAAAAAAAAACAAACAAAAAGAAACAAACTGAAAGCAAATAACAACTAATAAATCTAAGTATTAAGCGATTTCTACAATTGTTTTTTCTTCAGTTTCATCTTTTTTTATGAATAAAGATCCATTGCAGCAATGACAAAATTATAACGTCTCAATCCCCATAATCAACTTCTATAATAACAGTATTTTATCAGAAATACTTAACAGTAGTACTTCAAGATACATGATTTAGAAAGTAAAGATAATTAAGAATACATGAACAATAATGGCTTAATTTATGAAAAAACCGTTAAACTGTGTATTTGGTTGTGCAAAAATCGAATGGATTAAGTCGTCTTTAGCTTTGCAATGTTAACACTAATAAAAGATTTTTGATCAAGTTTAATAAACATATGTTTAAAAAGAAGGAATTTAGCATTTCATTGACCACATGACTTAGCAATATATTTAAAATAATGTGATAATCAAGTGATCATGAAGCACGAAAAGGCAAGAAAAATAAAAATAACAAAAAAAAAAAAAAAAATGAAGTCCATAAGTTCATTATACAAATTTTAAAATCTCTAGGCATGGAATTAGGTGTCATGGGAAAGTAAATATCCCCTGTCGACCGGACGTCGTACCCGCTGCGTGCTCCTTGTCATGATCGGACAAAAGAAAAATTCGGTTAATATTTAAGTTTGAAAAAACATGATATTTCAATATTTAAGTGTATACACTTACTACTTTGAAATAAACTAGTTTCACAATTTGGTTTGACATGAATTTTTAAGACCGTCTGCAAAGAAATAATTTTACATCTACATCTTCCCCTAAAACACAGAAATTCTTAATACAATCAGATGTTGTTTACATGTAAATATTGCTTTACCTCGTTAATATATGCACTACCTACAGTGCTATCAAGAGACAACGACGACTTTGTAGACATGGCGAAGATGACATATAAAGTGGAATTTTTAAAAAGCAACCTTTTCAACAAATTTTGGGCTGGCTCTTTCAAAATGCAACTTGTATATTACCGCAAAAATATATGTAAGTAGAAGATATCTTGAAAATCTATTCAGTCACAAAATATAGCTGAAGATAATCTACATTATTAGACCCAATGTATATAATCAGAAGTCATCTCCGCGCACTGTTTGATAGAAAGCCGTAGTCAGCTGGAAAAAAACGAGACATCATTAAGTATTTAGCGGAGAAATTAAAGCCCTGGAAAGTAATTACTTGAGATTGGAGGATATGCTGTGACTTAGTTAGAGACGACAACGCCAAAACTCTGAGAAAGCTCAAACTGAGTGGCATCTGATTTCCAGGTAAATTAGAGAGAAGTCCTACGAAGACTGATTAAAGTGCTTTAATACAATTTGTCCCCCCTTTTTTAATATCGGAAATATCCAAGCGAATGACAAATAAAGATGTAAACCTCGGCATTGCTATATTGGAGTTTTTTTTTTATCCGGGATCCGTAATTCTGCTGAAAACTTTCCGGTTCTTTGTAATCTAGAGGTTCAACAAGTTAATCTTTCATGGAAGTAAATCCCCAGCAGTATTTAGCTATAGATATCGGAATTATGCTCATTGAATTCGGTTTCATACAAATAAAATATCGAAAGCAATTGGATCAGAAGTTTTGCATTAAATTATTCTATTAAATCTCAGTTCGTGTAAAATATGAATTAGAAAATCACGGATTCTTCTGTAAATCAATTTAGAATTAGCTTATATAAACATCATTGTTTCTTTCTGGTGTACATCAAAGGAAATATATTATAATGACAGATGACAATACTTTCCCCATTACTAAATAAATGTTGCAAACCAAGGATATTTTATTAAATATAACAAAGATAGCACAGCAGTAAGCGAATTAACCAATACAACTAAAGCACACTCCACAAAGAGCCAAGGTAACTGATGATGATTGATTTATAACCAAGTATAAGAGAATAAACATAGATTATATTATTAGATAGAGTATAAAATCAATCCATGCTGGTTCCTCGGTATCTTGTTTCATGGATAACCGAACTGGAAAATTGAAGTAAATTCTATATACATCGCAATGAAACGTCGAGCGTTTTACCTTAAAGTTCATTGGCGCAACAGTACAAAACAAGTATTGTCTCAAAGTATATCTTCTTGTAATATCAGTCGTCATGGAAACAGACTTAAACACACTTTGCTAGCTTTTTTCTGTTTTTATTTTATTTGTTTACTGATTGGGGAATGTCTTTAGCAGACATCGCGTTCATTTAAGTCGTCTTATGGACACTTTCAATCCTAAGATATAACGTGATTTAGATGCTCGCATTCTGTTATCTGAAATGAAATCAATTCTAATCACAAAAGTCTTAATCTGCTCAAATGCCACTCGAAAGCTGATCACGATAAACAAAACACGCTATGTCCTTTGAGTTTCATCTGTTTTTGTACTCATTGGTAAGATTTTACGACATACTTTTCCAATTCTTTTTTCCAATATTTTTAAGACAGATGGCTACTGCTGCCTCAACCTGGATACAATTAATAGGTAGTCAAATATTCTTGTCTCGGAATTGGCTTAAAATACTGGGAGTATATAAAAATACTGATTTTTAAAGTAAAAGAATTTTGCAATACTTGATGTCCGAGATGCATATCTACCCGCGTCTT